TTGAAATAGTTTTAAAATTTTAATTACTGTACCTGGTAACAAAATAACATCTGTGCAGTGTTAATCCATAATATACACCTTCATTTCATATGGATATAAGACTTAAGAACGTTTCTCTAGTTATTTTTGCATGCCATTTCATTTTAAAGGATGAGCCTAAAAACATACTCAGCCTAATAATTTTTAAATAATTAAATTTATTTCCTATTAGTAGAGTTAAAAATAGACTTTAAACAGATCAACGTAGGAGTATATAAAAGCTTTTCATAAAAATTACTGTATTTTGTTATTTCACTAAAATTCTGCTGCAAAGTAATGTGTCTGGAAAGTGCATCTTCATGATGAAAACAATCATTTGCATGATTTCATTTTGCTTTTTACTGGTTTAGAGCATCAGAACCTATTTACATTAACCAATGCATTTTATGCTGCCTATTTTCCAAAGTGTGTATTGAAAGTTTGGAAAAGAAGCAATATTCTTGTCCATAGTTAATTTAGAATTTTCGTCTTCCAGGTTCATGTTGGGGAGAGGCCTAAAACGCAAGCTGAGTGACTATGAGGAGAATGTGGCTGGTCTCTCTAGTGCCTTTGACTCCAGTCGAAACCTGCCATACCCACTTAAGAGGCAGTTGGTGCTCAATATGTGCCTCACCAAGTTACAGACTTACAAAATGCTGGTGGAACCGAACTTGCATCGTTCTGTCCTCATAGCCAACACCGTACGGCAAATTCAAGAGGAAATGAGACAAGAGAGTGGCCAGCCAATTAACGTCTGCACTGGCATTACTCCTAGTTCTCCCAGCTACACAGGGATGGAGTCATCTGGAATTTCTCTTCAGTTGCCTTCAGGTATTAGTCAGCAAGAGTCTAACTGTTGTGACTTGCGATCTGCAGAGGACCCCATTGAAAATAGCCTGCTGATAGTTTCAGATGATGATATGTCATCTGCTATTTCATCTATTCTGAAGGATTTAGACTTTGTAGAAGACATAAGCCCACCTACATGTCTGGTTCCTACTGGAGATGACCAGCCAAAGTTTCCAGAAAATACTGGTCTAAAACTAGAAGACGATAGACAGGATTTGAAGGGAGCTGAGTGCGTTTTTGGTTCCTTTGAGATTTCAAATTCAACTAGTTACTTGAAGGATTTGGCAATAGATGACATTTTCGAAGATATTGATACTTCAATGTATGATTCAGACTTTTGTTGCCCTCCACTAATGCCGCCCAGACCACCGCCTGTTGCTACAGAAGAACCATTGAAAACCTTTCCATCTTGTAATTCTTCTTCAGCAAGCAACATTCAGATATGTAGAACAGATTTAAGTGAGTTGGACCACATAATGGAAATTCTCGTTGGATCCTGATGCTTGTTTTGCCCAAAGATACTTTCCCAACTGCCACTTTCAGTTGGTTTAAGGATAAAAGCCACTGGAAAAGTTGTAAAGAATTCCTTAAAACCTAAAAGTAATTTGTCTATAGGGAAATCTTCTAAATATTTCCAAAACTTATAAACCAAAAAGTGGCAGATTTTTTAAAGAAATATTTATTTATCAGAACTGTGCAATCATCTTTTTCCTTCCAGGGTGTATGTGGAACAGTAGGCACATACCCATATCACCCCTCATGCCTCTTTCAATAAACTTTTTTATGTGCAATTTTTAATTTGTCAGAAGAATTTACATGCAAAACAAAATTCATATGAGATGATCTTTTACAAAGCCTCCACTTTATTTTTAATATCAGAGTCTATGCCAAGTTGGCATACGTCAAGTTGCATAGTTGGATTGCATGGATCCAGCCACATTACTAGAGATGGGTATATTTTAAAAATGAGACACATTTTAGTTTCTTTTGGTCAGAAAAGCAGATCAAGACACTTGTCAACAAAGTCTCTTGCATTTTCTAAAGCATTCAGAACTATTTATTTTTGTAAATTTTATAGTCTTTCTACATTTTACTATGTTATTTCATCATAGTTCAAATATAATGGACTTCTAGTTGGATGTGTTTAGCACTACCTCTGAGCTGAAATGCTTTAACTCTTTCCAGTGCTTCGTCTAAGACTGCAAATCTTTTTGTTTCTTTTTGTTCTTTTTTTTTTTCCCCTCTGGGGAGAAATACTTATAACTCATTAAGCTGATTCTTTGACAGTGACCTAGCTGATTTGTGAAATCAAGGGTATTCAATGTTTAAAAACTAAGTATTTACAAATGTAATTTATATGTAGGTTGTGCAATTTAACATTTTTTCTGTCAGTATTATGTGCTTAGATTTTAAGTAATCTTGGCATTCTTTAAATTAAAATTTACTGTGTACAGATAGCTTTTTAATCTGTTTTGGAAAACACTGTCCTTCAACCCTGCTTTCACTACAAAGTTTAAGATGATTTTTATGTGCAATATTATTTAAAAAGATACACACTTGTATACCTGGCATTATAGAAAGAAATGCTTTGAACTTGGAACTTCTAGCACCTTTGGAGGATACCTGAAGAGTCAGCATTTGTGTATCCCTCAAGAAGCAAAGCTGCGAACCCCCTTGCTGCAGCACTGCTCTCTGTTTGGAATCCTCCCGAAATGCTCATTCGCACGCGGTGAGTCAGTCCTGATGACTAAGCACCATCCTGCAGCTGTTCCTGGGGAAGCTCCGGGCGCAGCGGCCGCTCTGGGCCCGACGCCTGTTCTGGAAGCATCGCGGTGGTTGCTGAGGATTGTGCTGCACACAGTGCTGAACAACCGCGAGAGGAGGGAGTCGGGGTGTACGTGCAGGTGTGTGTATAAATATATTTTAAGCGCGGTCATTAACTGAAGATGACATTTGCAGCGAGAACTATTTTTCCATACGACGATTGGGATACTGTGTTTCAGCTTGAACTGAGGTCTGTATTGACCCTTGCTTTTGTCTTCTAAACTATACACTTGCACACTTTTGTTTCAAACTATAAAACTTTTTATTTTGTTCTTGAGCGCTGCAGCACCTGTCTCATGGAAAAACTTTGCAAAAGCTTTGCTTTGTGGGTTTGTTGTTGTTTTTCTTTTTGCTTTTGTTCTGCTGAGACTTTTCATGAATGGGGCATCTGCAGAAGAAGAAAATGTTGCCCACGTGGTGCATCTCACAAGAGTCGCAATCCCAGGCCTGTTGCAGGGGCCAGGATGTCACCTACTATTTCTAGTCTTACCAGATGCTGTAGCACACTTACCTTGTGCAAAGATATCTCTCTTTTTTTTTTTTTAATTTTATTTTTTACTGTGACTGTTTTGGTTAACAGTTAGCTGCCAATACAATTTGGTATCCCAAACCAGTGGAGTACCAGTTCAGGTTACATCCTCACAGCCATTTGGGTTGTTCAGCAACCGAAGGGTATAAATGTATTTATATGCATATAACATATTGATTCTAATATAAAACTTCTGATCTAAAGTATTTTGAATTGCTGGATAAAGGGATTTGTCTGAAGAGTGTATAAATAGTTATTGAAGAGGTACAGCTTCAGAATGTACACAGATTGTGCTTTGTGTATAGACTACTCTGGCTTTTCCTCAGCCTCTACTTTTGTATTAAAGATATGCCTGAATAAATCCTTGAAAATATTAAGGGCCTTCTGCACTGTGATGAAGCAGAGTTGTGGCTAAAAATGTCTTTAAATTCAGTGATAGGGAATAAAATGAAAAGACTGCATCTAATTTTTTTTTTTTTTTCCATTTGCAAATATGGAATGTTACTATGCAGCAAAGATATTTTGGTATGAAACTTGTATCATGTAGCAAATAGTAAATACCTAACAAAATTACATACCTTGCAGCCCTACAGAAATATAAGAAGAAAATGTGCTTTACAGCATTAACATGCAAAAGTGGTTTTTGTATACTTCAGAAACGGATCAAAAGTGTTAGTGGACGTTCTAGCAACAAGTAGTTAAAATGCAGTTTTTGTTCACGTGCTTGCCGCAAATCTCTATTTCGAACTGGTTGCTTGCATCACAGTGCCAAGACCATGAGCTGGTATGTAATGCAGTTTGGTTATTTATGGAATTATGTGCAAAGGGAAATTTTTAAATATGCACAAACTAATTTTGAACTCCTTCCATGTAAAATGAAGCTAGAGGCTAGTCGTGGTGGACCTATTTATTGTATGTTTGGAAATAAAAGCCACAGTTTTGCATTTTAACCACTTATATTTTGAAGCCTTCAGTATTTGTGTGTTCTTAAAAATAAAAAAGTACTGTGTCAACCTTCTTCCTTCTACTCATGAAGATGTAACACTTTTCCCTAAATAGTTGCCTTCATAAAGCGGATATTTTTTCTGGAAATATTAAATAATCACCATCCAAGCTTTCCTTTTTTTCCTTTTCTGTGTGAAGCTCCCTCTCTCTGCATCTCCACAGTCCAAGTTGCCACATGATAATTTTTTTTCAGATTTTTTTTTTTCCTCATATATATGTGTGTGTATATGTATATATATAGTCTTTTAGATGACTGTGCTGGAAGGTTCTTGCACTTTTCTCAATTTTAGCCAACGTCCCACTGAAGGCTTTGAACATCAGACACACTAAGCAGCACAGTGCAGTTATGGGTTGAATGATGGGGGTAGCTCAATGTCATATTTGGAATACTGCCTGGCCCAGCACCCTCTGTAGCAGGAGTGAGTCTTAAAAGGACTGATACTCCAGCTCAAGCAGGAGTAAAATACAAACTCATGAGAAAATAACCAGCCTGTGCACTAGTCCTGGGAGGAAAATGAGCTATAATTAGTTGCAAAACCAACTTTAATTTTAAGCTATTAAAATATCATTAGCAGAATTCAAGAACTAAGATGTAGAGGTGTGGCTATAAAAGTATGCATTAGTAAAGCAGGCATTCAGGAAAGCTGATTTTTTTTGTGTTAGGTATGTACTAACATTTACAGGTATTTGCCTGTAACTAGAATAAGAAAAGGGGGAAAAAAAAATCTTTGAGATGCAAACATCATGCCTGATATTTTTCCTCATTATCTCCATTTATCCAAGCAAAGCAGTGTGCTAGACTGGGTGGCCTTTGGGCTGACAAATTCTGAGGCTCTGTTTCATATTTCAGCAGAAGGAAGTGAGAACTACCCCATTCAACTGAAACAAACTGGTCACAGCCACTTGCTGAGGGCATTTATTTATTTATTTATTTATTTACTCACTCACTCACTCACTCACTCCCCCCCTTCCTTTGAGTCACAGCGAGGTTGAGCTCAGCTCGGCTTCCCCAGCGATGTTTGCATTTTAACCCTTAGCTTGCAGGCAGCTCCGTTTTAGCCAAAGGGCCCCTGCAGTCCGGCCTGGTGCGAGTCCTTCAGGAAGCTCTAACAGCGTTAAAAAGATCAGGGCTGCTTGGGAGCTCTGCAATTCCCCTGAACTGCGAAAACAGATGCAGCGCCTCAGAGGTGCTATCGAAGAGCCACATGTGCGGTGCGGAGCTGGGGGCAGCAGCCGCAGTACCATGGACGGAGGAGTGCCCAAAACACCCTAAGGAGCCCACGGCTGCGTTTAAGCTAAACGGGTACAGTACAATTTGTTCAAAGCTCCGAAGGAAGTTTTTATTTAAATAACAAATTGGGGTGTGCATGCTAGGGCAGCAGCCGCAGTACCATGGATGGAGGAGTGCCCAAAATACCCTAAGGAGCCCACGGGTGCGTTTAAGCTAAACAGGTACAGTACATTGAGTGGACGTAGAGGAAAACAATTTGTTTGAAGCTCCGAAGGAAGTTTTTATTTAAATAAGGAATTGATGTGTGCATGCTAGTGAGGATGAAAGAGTGAGGTGAGTAAAAGTATCCCTTAACATGCTGGAATGTAAGTACACTGCAATTGTTAAGTGAATTTTTACTAACATGAAAATTAGTAGATGTAGTTTTTCTCATTCTAGTCATTCCTGTATACTTAAAAAAAAAAAAACTATGCATATTTTTAAATAAATAATGATCCAAGCTAAATGTTTTGCAAAAACCAAGGTATGGCTTAGTTCTCATTAATATAAATTGTCATTCAAAAAAGGAGAAAAAAAATGAGTATATAGAAAATGGAGTGAAGAGAGTAAAATTCTAGTTTTTCATTCACAGATCTTAAGTCTTTAACATTACAGTTCCCCAGTCTCCTAAAAAGGTGAGTTTTCTTTTTCCTATTTTGATCTATGAAAACTCTTAAGATCAAGTTCAGGCACTTTATAATAAAGTTTAAAAAAAACCTTTTAAGTATTTTGCATAGGTTTAACACTGGGCCTATGGCATACTTAAAGCTCACACTAGGGTCAAAAAACATGCTTTGCTTAGGTTTTTTTTCCTTCAAATTCTAGCTATTTTTATTTGACTTTTAAAAATAAAGTCCACCAATACTGGGAACACATTGTTTTGAAGACAAAACTCTAAAACCACCTCTCTAGTCTATTCAGTTTTAAACGATTGTCAAAAATGTGGTTTGCCTTAAGGCTTTACTTCTGCTCTAGCTTTGACTTTTATTGAAGCAGCATTTTCAGTCTCGTGGAGGTGTTCTTTTAGCACAACTCTATTTGCAATGTGCCTTCTATAAACAGAAGATTTCAGTAGTTACACTCTGATCTGAATTTTAGGGTTTTATCTACATCTATCCACCGCCCTCACCTCATTCCCAACCCAAAAATCTCAGTGTAATTTACTTTGAAGAAAAAAGCATTTCTGTCCAGCTCTGCTGGCTAAAACTCATACTTGTTTTGGTTTTCACCCTTTCAGAATACTAAGTAAATGTCAAGTCTATGGTATTTACACCTTTTCCAGAAATACAGAGTACGGGAACCTGTTCATTAAAACTAAGTATTTTGCAACTAAGCTCACAACTATGATTGCTAAATTCATAGCTTAAATCATACTAGGATAAAGAGTTTTGTTTCTTCATGCACCTTTTTCACAGAATAAACACCCCTTTTCAACCTTAAAGCAGAGCTGTACTGCAGCAGCAAAGTGGCTGGTTTTAGCACCGCTGGCTCCGTGCCAGGGAAGAAGCGCAACAAGGAAGTGACCAGAGGAACTGAACACGGAGTATTTGTGCAAAACGCATCCGGAGGTCTCCCCTGCCTCCCTTTGCAACAAGGGCCAAGGCTACTTCTACGCTACGCCCCAGCTCTCAACATGGGGCTGGCGCAGTTCGCTTTGGAGAGGCTTCTCTCCCAGTGTGGTCGCTCACCACTTACTTTGGGAATTTTGTCTTTGTTTGCTGATGGCGGCCGCATTCGGATGAGGGCTACCAGAAACGCTCAGCTGTGGGGAATTACGTTGTAGTTTCAGTTCTGCTGGAGCTGGAATGGAAGTTGTTCACTCCCGACTGAAGGAAGAAGCCAAAGTTCCCCCAACCAGCAGCGTCGCATGGAGCTCAGGGGAACAGGACCAGGGAGCAGATTTTCCCCACTGAAATAATAAAGACCAGAGACTTTCTCCTACTTCTCCTGAAGCCCCAACAGGGATTAAGACCTGCTGCTATGACAGAGACACTGCTTGGTTACTGCTCCCCTGGGTAGCAGTGCAAAACCTGATCTGCTCCACTTGCCACACAGTAGCTAAAGGAAAGAGAAACGTTTCAACCCAGAAAGGGTGTTGGGGAACCTGGTGCCCCAGTGCTCCCCATGCAACAAACTTCCAGCCCCTCCACGGGGCCCTGTTTGTGGAAAAGCCTACGGGTGATATTTTATTTTAGTAGCTGAGTTTCAGCAGATTTCATGTTTATTTCCAACTCTAAATTTCAAACACTTATTGGGAATTTATTGCTTTGCTTTAATACGACCAGCCTCTCTTTCATACATCTTGAAGTGCTCTGAAAGACTTCTATGGGAAATTGAAAATGAATATTCAAAACTTCAATTACACAAAAGATCCAGGTACTTGCCTCAGTACAGTTGCTATTCCCACCTTCCCCACAGCAGGAAATCCACAGCAACAGCCTCCACATAATGCAGTTTTACTAGTCTAAGCAACATCATTAGCTTTGTTTTCACTTCAAGTCCCAGTTCAGGAAGTACTAATATGCGAAAGCAGGAGGTAGCTACTGCTAGAGCTTACCCCAGTTTGGTGTTTTAATGCAAAAATTATTTTTACAAAACAAAACAACCCAACAATAAAAAGAACCCACTTCTTAGATTACTATTAGGGGAAAGTTTCTGAAAACAGGAAATCCAGTTTTAAGTGATGCTAACCCCACATTTATACCCACAGAGTTTTCAGTCTAACCGTGAAGAACTCCTTTGAACACAAGGAAACTGCTGAGCCACTTTCAAATAGCACTTATTCAACTAGCACTTATTCTGCTTCTATTTACAGAGTAACCAGTATACGGTTAATCTTACATTAACAGCACTGAAGCATCATAAACACTACTGAAGTTAGATTAAAATTGATATTATTTGCTAACTGGCAGTGAAATTAAGAGCTTGATTCTACTAGTGCCCTATACAGTTCTTAAAATTAAGAACAGACCATGTACATCATGCACTGATTTAATTTTGGAAAATTCAAATTTGTTCCATGCTTTTAACACAAAAAGTCTGCCCTGTGCTGTGACATTCTCTTCAACAAGCCAAAAAACTTGGCAACTTCTTTAAAATAAGCACTCATACAAAATGTTCATGTTCAGAACAGTTAAAAAAGTAAATGCCTAGTAACTTGCATAAGTTATTACCATTAAATAAAGCTGCTGCAGCTGGCACGGATGAGCCATGGATTCTGACTGTTAATGAAGTGCATCTCTGTGGGTACCTAATGCATGCAGGAAGGGGAGCAATATACAATATCAAATACAGTAATTTGATAATTACTGTAAAAATGCAAAAGATTCAGGGCAGCCATTTACAGCACTGTGCAGGGAAAGCCCTGAACTACACTGCTGTTAAGCTTTAACCATCCTGATTATACACAGTTTAAATGGCAGCTGAATGAATCCAAGAAGTCATGTTAGAGTCAGCTTCAAAGATATGATTTATTTCAACTAGAAATCAATACCAGAACAAAATGTTTTGAATCTGACCACACCACCAGCTCTACCCATATTACCAGGGTAGGCTCTATCAGACCCATAAGGTCGTTATTTTTTTAAACCCCAGTAAAAGCCACAGGATGTAGACAGTTCTTTTCATTATGCTAAGCAGTAGAAAAGTACCTGACCTCTGCTGTTCCAAGGTGGATTAATATGAGAAGATACAGTGGCAAGGCACTCTTCACAACACACCTAAGATGTGTTTAGGTTTTGGCAGAAAAACAAGGGTTTTACTCAATTAGATATTAAGGCCTGAAAAGTCAGTAGTTAAAATAATTGTTCAAAGTATCTTTAAGGTTTGATTACAGCTGCACTTACAGTAAAAGACACGACTCAACAACAAAACTTACCAGGACAAAATTGCATCTTTGACCTCAAAACTACATAGTGCAAGTACCTTTTAATAAGGTGGCTTTAAGAACCCCATACATAGCAGTATGTTACTTCCCTAAGAACTTACCAAGTCTCTAGTACCAAGCCAGTAACAAAATAAAGGTAAAAACACACTCAGTTCAAAAAGAAAAGAAACTAAAAAGTGCATTGGTTTTAACAAACATCATTGCTGAAAAATTTCATTTTAAGGTTGTGCATAGTGAAAACTTGCTTCTTTCTTGGGATTGTTATATACTGCATATTTCCACCTGATGTTGTTCTGTTCAGAAGAAGGTTGCAAGTAAAAAGATGGCCATCTCTGGAATCTGGTGATACAGCCCAATAGCTGATTTAACTTACTTGCAAGCTAGGTCAGACATTCAGATACAGCCCAGTTAGCAATAGTTCTGCCTCCCTCTAACTTGGTTAGCTACTGAACCTCTTCAAGCAGTTCTTATTCTCTTTTGTTCTCTAGAGTGAACAAACTAAATCTGAATCATTCTGCATACCTGAAATGGAAGTTTGAATGAAAATCCTTCTTTACACTAAGTTGCCTTGTAATTTCTCCTTTGCTGTGTATTTCAGCAGTCATGATCACCATTCTCAGTGGTCAACAAGTTGATGTTTCTAGAGATACTCTCACTTCCCTTATCAGAGCATCCTGACGCCATCCTGTGTCTGCCTCTTTCTTCCCTGTCCCATCTCACTATTTACCTATTTGCCCCCCTCTCCCCCAAGCCATCTCCCCTCTGTCTCTATTGTAACTTGGCCAACAGGCCAAGTTACATAAATAACCACACATTTGAACATTCCCTATCACGTCACTTTGCATTAGGTATGCTATGTTTTACCTTTTATGGAGTTGCCAGGTAGGTTTCAAAGAAAGGGGGAGTAGAAAAAATCATAATAAAAAACTACACTCACATGGGCTTATCAGAAACAAGCTAACTTTAGCAGATGCCCCAGAACACTTAGCAGAAAATTCCAGACTAGAGCAGAGAAACATGTAAAATGCACTGCACAGTTCTCTTACTTTCAGAAAAATTCTTACCTTGGTCTGGATCAGTGCTTTGCAGTTATTAATATTGAATCCATCAAATCCAAAGTCCTCATCATCTTTAGCATTTGATTCATCAACAAGGATATCCTGGCTCTCTGGAAAGTCCTAATAAGGCATAATTTACTTTTATTAAAAAGAAAAAAACCCACTCATGTTTTATCTGATCTCAACATATTGTAACCTATAGAGTTTTCCCTTATAACAACAATAATCACCAAATCTTATTTCCTGAAGCAGTATTTTGATTTGTCATGTGGTCCTCAGCATTAACCGAGTTTTATGACAAAGCAAGTTCAACACACATGAATTGAAGTGTGACTTAAAAAAAAAAATGAATCCCAAATAAAGTTATTGCTGTTCTGTACTAGAATATAACCGAGAAACACATCAGCAACACTGTTAAAAAAATACAATTTTCCAATAAGCAGAAAGAAGCAATGATACAATTTGAAGTTGCCTGTACATCAATTTAATCCATGTGCACCTGCATAAGGGACTAGCTACATCGGAGAAGTCAAATGAGAGTGGGTAAGAGTTATTTCAGGTGCAGAACAAGTCCTACACCTTCAGCACAGTCATTGCTTCTCATACAAGTTAGAAGTAAATACAAAATGACCATATTAGGAAAACTCCCTTCCTCGTACACACACTTCAGTAATCAAATTATTAATCAAAATGGTTACTTCTGAAAAGCACAAACTACCAATTCACGCCTACTAAAGAGTCAGGTTGAATACTAAACCATTTTTGATACCTATGTCTATTCAAAATAAGAGATTGAACAGTGACATTTCTTTTGGGGATTTTCAATACTTCTTTTTTCCTCTTTTGTTTATTTAAAACACACTCCTCTTTCTCTTGACCAAGCAGACAAAGTAATCTGAGAAAAAGGGGAAACGGAACACACTTTCAACTTGCACACAATTAAAACACTCACTAACTGCCTAAACAGCCTCACTGTTTCAAATCCAATTTTCGCTTAATGAAGAGATAATAGAGGCTAACAATTTTCTCATACGTTGAGCAGAAAAAATAAAGCCATCTGACTGAACACATCTGAAAGTTAACTCTACGGCCAAAGCTGAACACCCCATTTAATGCAATAAGCACTATATAATGAAGGCTTCAATACAAAGATAATCAACAATTGATCCCTGCACAACTTCCACAGTAACTGAGATAAAAATTACAGCATAGTGTTTGCTCAGCATTAAAAGACCCTCTTTAAGAAAACCTACGATTCATCCACATATAGTTCATTTCTTGTGCATGTGCCTGTACAGCTTACACAAAGCAGGATTTACACCCAGGTGTTTATGCTGGCACACCAGGCAACCTTTGTTCAATTACCTTTTGATTTGCATTTATTCCAAGAACACTCAAGAGGTTTTCTTGGCAATGAGATTTACTCCAAGGATGCCTTAAGCTGGAGGTATTATCAAAGTCTTTAAGAATTCTCCATATGTTTCCACAGTCAGTGCTAGGAAAGGAACACAATTTAAGGTTGTGAAATGTAGAAAGTTCCCAGCAGTCAAATATAACTAAAGTTATTTTCAGCAGATAATTACACACTAGCCTACTTTGAATAAAAGGCAACTTAAAGTTATTTCTACATTTGTTCAAACTATCAACCCTTTGTACTAATAACCTCTCACAACAATTAACAGGAACAACTACTCAACATCATTGTACATGTGAGCTTCTCAGATAAAAAGCGCATTAGAAGCCTATTTCAGAGACCATTCTATGCCCACAACTTGCACTGTTCACTCAGTTCTGAGAGATGCAGGTAAGCAGCTCAGCCCTATCAATTCTGAAGCTCCTGTTTGTGTTTCAGACCTTCCTCCTTTATTTCAGCTGTGTCTCCCCAGTTCAGCAATCTGAGACTAAGGCAGGCCAACTTCTGGTATCTGGTCTAGTTGTGTGTACTACAAAACAGGGACCCAAAGCCAGGGGCATAACACGACTGAAGTAGTGAGAATTAAAGAGCTCCTTCTGCACACTGCTTTGCATTCTTATACTGCACTCATCTTAGATAAAAGCAAGTGCTTTTAGCTTAGTATATGAAGCGAGTATCATTTATCTTTACTTTATTCTGCACAGTATATCATTTTTTCCCCTGACTTTAGTAGGTACTCTTCTAATATTGAAGTCCTTTCTACATATATAATACATATATCCATTTTTTTTCCTCCACAAGTTCAAACTTGTTACCTAATTAAAGTTTAAAGCACATGCAAGGAGCTTGTTGAAACGATGCCCACTTTAAATGTATTTTGTTACAATTCTTGTAACATTTCCAATGTATGGTCCAAATAAGTGACCCAATTTTCTGGATACAAATGCTCAGATGTATGCAAAAATAACTACAATAACTACAATACTCTTCAGGCCCTGCTGATGCTTCAAAAACATGTAACAAGTCTAAAAGCATTCCAGCTGTCTTGAGAGCTAAGTCAATGATACTAATTGCTGTTAACATAACCCCAGGAAAGAAGCCAGATGCACCACAGATTCAGAAACAAATCTTGTTTAACATGAAGTTACCACCTGAGAAAACTGGGGAAGGGGAAGGAGAGCAGGTTGTCAGCAGAGGCAGCAGCAACGCTCATGCTTTACATGACAGAGAAATAAGTCAGATGTGCTGCGGAGGAAGAACAAGCAAACAGGAAGAACAGGCTGCCTGCTGGTGTTCTGGCATTCCAGAAACTTCGTCATAAACTCGCATACCAACAGCAGAGAAGGAAAAAAAACCTAAGCAGGAACTCATACTTTTGATATATTTCCTACCTGTTTTTAAAACGGCTAAAAAACAACCTACTTCCTCAATAACACAACAAAAATGCTAAGATCCAAATGCTTAAAGAGAATAGTGATTGAAAACAATTTCAGTTTGAAGCTAGCTTTTAATTATTAGTGTAATTACTGAGGGGTTAGTTTTTTTGCTTGTTTGTTTTTTAAAACACATTCAACAAACAATTTCTTTAAATATAAACTCATTACCAAAGTTGATTCTTCGTAAAATCAGCAATGCCAGTATCTTCATTATTTGTATCAAATACTTCATCCAAACTTCTTATGCTCTCTCTGGATTGTGGTACAGCAACTTCTGGAAAGCCCAGCTTAAATATATGTCCATAGCTGTGGTTTACCTAGAAAATGCAGAATTTTATTAAGGACATTACATGGGCCAACCCAGCAGTTCACAAAGAGTTGGTCTAAAAAAATACAACGCTCCCACTGATTTTATTAGTATTAAAATTTAAGAGCTGTATGCATATAAACAGAACAGAGGGACTGTAGTTCAGTGTTTTGAGTATTTATCTGGAATTAGAAGATACTATTAAATTGATTTGTAAAGTATTTCCATAGATTTAGCTTACAACAGTGATACTAGTCGGGGAAGAAATACGTGGAAAGCAAAATTCTATGAAAGAACACTTACTAAATCATAAATTCATGGTCAAGGAAAATAAAAATCCTCTAACTAGCTACCAAACCCCAAATGGGAGGAGAACTAATATTAGGCAGCTGTTCCTGGCATTTGAGAAAAAAATACAGTATTTAAGCAGCTTGAGTGGAGGGACGCACATGCCTGTCTTGTTCACAACATCTTCCTGGAGTCTCATGTTACTTTGACATGCGCACAGGACACAAATCATTATTCACTGGCTTGCAGTTTAGCCATGCTGGATGAAAAGCTTAGCATACACCAACACTGACAGACTGCATTTTTATTCATTTTATCTTTATTATTTTCCACTTAGCTAGGTATTTCTAAAACAAAATGAGGTGTATTTCTCTTTACCTTATAGCTTTGTAGCAACTGTAGTACATGAAAGCATGAATTTCAGATCTGTGCTTTTTAAATAAAACCTCAACATCCAATTATATCACAACACTCCAGTGTTTAAGCAAATCCATGAATTTCTCTTAAAATGGTCTGTATTTAAAGATGTGAAAATCCCTTAAAGTTGTTCAGTCGCATATGCAGAATATCCCACTACTGCAAACAAAAAGGTTTAATCTTAAAATATAGGACTCTGCCTCAAGTTATTAGAAGTTAATTGAGGCACTTAACATTGAGATGAGTTTTGAAGAACCCTTCCAAACTAGAACCCTTCCAAACCCTTCCATGGCCCTGCATGGACCATGCAGAAGACAGAGCCCAGACCCAAAAGGTTTATGAGCCAAGGAAACAAAATAAAAAACATAGCAATGGAGGATGTTATGTATGATATGCATCTGAAGATATCTCCAACAGCCCTATTGCTGCTTCGCTACCCTGAGGAAAGAAATCTCAAAACCCAGGGCACAGCTAAGTTGTTATACCAAACCTCACTAACAGACAGGTGGTAAATTATTGCTACTGATCAACTCTGTGAAAGTTCAGAACAATTGCTCTTTTTACTACAAAAATATTTTACTGTAGGATAAAAATACTATGAATAAGTGGTATGAATTTTTGTTTTGTGTTCAGATATTTTAATTTTCTTTTTGCTAGTTTGTTTCACTTTAAAATTAAGAATTAAAACACATCAATTGGTATGAGATATAATCACTAGACTGATTTTTTTCTGATATAATTGTATTATATAACTTAGCATTTAATCAAATTCTTAGTCCTAAATTTGTATGAGGGAATGCAGCTTCCTAGGTGACAGGATGCAATATATTCATCAAGTTACATCTCTTATTTGTGTCAGATTTATTAAGGGTAGAAGTTAATCTAAAATGCCTGTGTTGCGATTATTCAGGCTGTACCAAAAACAGAGAAATTACTAATTCCTGACTTAATAATGATTTATTTAAATAAGCTTGCAAACTAATTTGCTCACCTTTTGTTACCAATCTTCCCAAATTTTGTTTCCTATGCCCACTCTGTGCAACTTGTGAAACGCACAGAGTGCCTCGGGTCAAGGTTCGTTGTTTCTAAAGGCTTATGTATCACTAGGGTCCAGAAGCAAAACAAGGCAGTACAGTCTTTAAAGCTCCCCAGCAGGAAAACTTAAGCATTTATCAAACACAGCAAAGAAGCTGCTTTTGTTCCACTAACAGCAAAGCAGCTTGGCAATTTCTCTCCCTCTACAGCGTTATCCTCCATAGAGGAGACATTCAGACACAAATCTCTGGATGCAGGAAACAGGAGCACAAATATTTTCAGTTCTTGGTTTACTGTTGGCACATACCTCATTTAGAGAGCTAGAGGCCTCCTGTCTCCCGGTGTGTGGAGATGGCTCAGAGGAAAAGTGACCAGTTGAGGCACTGCAGCAGCCTCTGCGTAAGTCCGTAACATCTTTAGAAGTTGTCATTGACTTCCCCAAAACTTCAGGATTATGACCAAAAATCTCTGCTTTATCTAAGGACTCCCTGAAGCCTTCAAAATCACCCCAGGAACCGCTGATTTCTAGTGTATTATGGCTGCTATCAGAAACCTGCTTACAACTTCCTTTGCTGTTCACTATAGGGAGACTTTGCTGCATTACTTCAAGATTAGTCATTTCTTCATTATTTCCCCTTTCATTTGAGTTATGGTTGCTTCCATGAAGAGAAATATCACCTACATCAGGTACTAGATCTTTCAGAGACATGCAGTGTAACGTGTCTGTATTACTAAGACTTTCTACTAGTGACAGATTCTGCATTTTGATGGAAAAAAAAAATCAGACAGAAATACTTTGTTGAAATCTGTCCTGCAGAAAGAACCAGTGAAGTTCAAATGAGGTAGAAATCTGAATATTTACAAAACATAATCCAATTCTTCACTTTGCCCAAAGAGCTATAGCAGTGCTAATCCAAAACATGATGTCCTTCAGTCTCTCCTCCAGTAATCAGCAAGTGCAAGCTATTCAGGCTTTCTGTGTAGAATATTACCCTGCAAAGAAAGAACTATAAATAAATACCTCTGTGATAACAGCTACATAGGAATAAGAAAGGATCCTGCCTGATAAGGCAGAAGAAAGAATGCTTAGGTTAAGATAAACACATTCCAATATTATGCAACTCAAAAATGCAAGAGTTATGGCTGTGTGTTGAGTAATTTCGCCACCTGCTCACACTCGGTGTGGCAGTTCTCAAAGTGTTTAACTAGTGTTCTAGGTGTTTTCTACTGTTAATTCACCTTATTTCCTGAACACTGAGTTTGTGCTCAAGGTCTGCAGGGGCTTCCCTGGGAGACCACGGGAAAGGAGTCGACGGCAGCAGCGGGCTCCTTAATTCTGCAGAACGGGTAGTGCTCCCGCTGCTTTAGCAACTAAGGCACGTTCAGTAAATTCATTTTGACATCTTTAAACTACTCCATGCAAGACTGAATTCATAATTTTAGGTCAACTGCATCCCCGCGAGCCTCCTCCTGACTGAGGAGCTGCTTTTGGGGGAGGACACGGGGTGAGAAAAACGGCTGTTACTGACTGGTCACTAAGAGGCACCTCCTGCCCTCGGTACCTAGGGCAGATCCCGACCTCGAGTACCCAGAGCAGACCCCGCGGCGCTGCCTCCGCTTCCCCCTCATGGAGGCGGGACCCGCTGG